TCCACAGCTGCTTCTCGTACACTAGTGGAGTTATCCATTAACCGTCCATGAACACCTCGTTGCATATCCAGCTAAAAAGAACAAATAAAACACAGATCCAAAATAAGAAATAGATTTCTTTCAAGCGTGACAGAAGAACGCATGTGCATGATGGATATTTCATTGTTTTTTACCCTGGCTAGAATACTGGGGTCTACAGCAACAACCTCAGACAAACACTTCATGGCTTTTGTTCGAACAGCAATTGCATTTTCACCAAGTACACGCAGAATCTAGTAAGAGAACAAAAAAAAAAAAGATTCAATTGTTTTGGGAAGGTAAAAAACAATCTTTAATGGGCAAAAATGCAGCAGAGTAACATGCAAACAATTTAACTAAAGTAAGAATATCTGTCTACTAAAAATTGAATATATCTTCTCAGACAGTAAAAGGGACATGCAAGCGATGTTCCATGGCACTGATAACTGAGCATGGATTTTACTAGGATTTGCTACATCTCTAAGACTGGTCCAAACAGGATTTACACAGGGTTTGTATGTTCACTTTAAGTCCCTTCATTTTAAACTCTCCTTTTCTCATTCAGTTGAAGCTTTCACCATTGTTCTTTTAACAGGAGAGTTGGATTTGGGCACTATAATTTTAAGAATGGCTCTGTAGGCAGATCAATATAAGTAATGCAACCCAGACTAGTACTGGAGTTCAAACATGTCACCATGACTACATATTAGTGCTCTTCTCCCAGAAAAGGCAAAGAAATGACACCTGTCAAACAACAGCTTCTAAAGTGACAGTGACATGAACTGCAAGCAACTGACCAAGCTGGCTTGTATTTTCAAATCAAATTAAGCTCAATTTCATGAGTTAATATTACCAAATGAGCATGCATCTTACAGAAACTGTGAAAATTATTTCAGCATTTTGTAATTATCCTCTTACAGCGTACACCTAATTATAGTGATTTTGTTATACACATAACACAGACAAATGAAATAATGTATGTAAAATACGACATACAAAATACATGCAAGAAAAAGAAACATAATCACTTATGTCATCAATGCAGAATATGAAAGCACATGGTGTTATCATGGCCTGTTAAATACCTGTGCTCAACAATGAACAGATATGGCACACTACCACAAAAGCGTTTGGAATCAGAAACCAACTGTGTTTCACTGTAACTAAGGCTTCCGGCACAGTTTACCTGTGTCAAATAAATATCGAAGCTCTGGGCAAACGGCCTCATAGAGGCCAAGTAGCGAACAATCAAACACGCATCTTCGTAGTCCACAGTATCAGAATTCATCCTGCAACAAATTCCATGTGTCAATTAGGACATGTTTATCAAAAATTATTTAAAACATCAAATGGATGGTTAATAAAGAATTAAGTGGTACCAAAACATACTTTAATGTACTGAACTGAGATGGAGCAGTTTTAATGATGCTGCGAAGAAACTTTTTGCGACTTTCTGCTCTATGCATGATTTGTCCTGTGGTCTCAACATCTTTTGCATGATGAGTTCCTTCAGATGAATCCTCATCCTTCTGAGACTTAATTGCTTTCTCTGTCTCCATAGTAGTATCACGGAACCACTGAGCGATATAAAACTTCCGAGAAAACTGGAGAAATATAACAGGATGCACAGAAAACAGAAGCAATAGATACAGAAAAGGAAAATTAACAGATTTATAATGAGATTAAGTGAATCTAATGCATCAACAATATTTTGGAAAATACAGTCAACAGTATATGTTAGGGTGACAATTTAATTGAAGTACTAATATGCATAACAAAAAAAACAGTACATGTTATTGAAATTATTTTTATATACACTTGACACCAGAAAGCTGAAATTTACCACTAATGATGCATCAGTTTCTGTGTTCTTATCCAGATAATCTAGCAAAGCCTTTTGCAGCTGTTGGATTTCATCTTCTCCTCCTGAAACCTGTCAGAAGGAGAAATATAGTTATAAACCAGAATATTCTATGGTGGTAATTATCATCTGAAAAATCTGCATGTCCACATATAAAATACATGGAAGTCACTTGCTTTGATAATTGCAGAATATTAACAATTTGTTAACCAATTACTTATAAACTGCACAGAGACTGAAACAAATTAGACTGTGGCTCTAAAGTCTAAGAAAGATTAGGAGCAGACTAAGACTGGTTTTAAAACAGACTGATTGATTTGATTAATTTTGGTTCTATGATCTTTTTTGAAGACTCCCTGTCACGGAGGAAAAAAGGGCTGAAATCACACAGCAGACAGACAGAAGGTTTAACCTACAAAAGTCACCGTTAGCTGTCTTACCAATATTAAATACCGAAACAGTGACTTCTCAGATGAACAAGGGATAAAAGGCAAAAAAGTAAAGTAAAAAGAAATATGAAACAGACAACAGTAAAAAGGTATGGGAAACATCAAAGAAATAAAAATAACTTCTCCCTTTGTAAAAATATTTAGTATAAGTGTTTTCAGGAATAAAGCATCCATACAGAGAAAGTACAGCAAGTATACTCAATCTAGGAAAGAACTTAGAGAGGTTGTTCCCAAACACCTCTGAGCTCCAGCACTGAAGAATCATGCTCTCTGAGATTCAACTATGTTTCTATCAGTCAAAAAGCTTGAGAGCAAACACACATTTTATAAAAAATGTCACCTACTGCATAAAGCCTATCTACAGAACAGGGTAACATTAATTTTCCTGTGAAGCACTTTTAAGATGCATTAAAAGCATTACATATGAAGTATTCACCTGAAAACTAGTGCTGGAAACTATGTATCAGATTTGTAATATCTCAACTGTATGAATGTTAAAAACAAAAGATATTTTTTCCAAGAGACTATTTAATAGGAAATACTTCTATTTCCTACATGTATATAAGGCACATGGAAGACAGGGAGATGATTTGAGACAGCCAGCACAGCTTCACCAAGGGCAAGTCCTGCCTGACCAACCTAGTGGCCTACTACACACTGATGGAGTGACCACATCAGTGGACGAGGGAAGAGCTATGGATGTCATCTATCTGGACCTCTGTAGGGCCTTTGACACGGTCCCCCACAACATCCTTCTCTCTAAATTTGGGAGGGATGGATTTGATGGATGGACTGTTCCGTGGATAGGGAATTGGTCGGATGGTCGCATCCAGAGGGTAGTGTTCAGTGGCTCAGTGTCCAAATGGAGATCAGTGACAAGTGGTGTCCCTCAGTGGTCCCTACTGGGACCAGTGCTGTTCAATATCTTCATCAGTGACACAGACAGTGGGATTGAGTGCACCCTCAGCAAGTTTGCAGATGACACCAAG